TTGATTTAATCTCATTGCATTTTACTGTGTAATATCAATTGGCACTGTCTTTGCCATAGAAACCGGGAACTGTGTTTGTTCTTCCTGGCCTCACGACAGAAGGTGTACTCAATAGGACAGTCCAAGTGGGCCCAAGTGCTGCCCCCCACAAGTGGGGACCCTGGAGGGGAGACCTGTGTGTGTGGCCTCCAGAGACGACTCAACAGAGCTGGGAGAGAGAACAGTCTAAAAACGGGGCTTCTATGTCCTTTAAGATCATGTTCAAGAACGTGACCCATCAATATCAAATGAATAAGGCAAAGGGTGGAGCATCCTCACAGCTCCTTCCGGTTTCATTTGTGCGTCGCCAAGCATGATGGTGGGCTGGATCCTGTGTGTCAGTTCTGTTCTCTGGAAATTGCGAAAATAGAGTTTAATCCAAGTAAATTAGGTTGCATCGTCTTTCAAAAAGTGTTTCTCAGAAGACTCATTCTGAGATAGTCCGTGTTTTTTTTTTTTTTTTTTTTAAAAATGGTTCTGAAGCCCTAAGTTTGAGAATGCTGTTAGAGAAGTTTGAGAAGCCCTAATAATGGCCTCTCTTTTTTAAGTAATTAAGATGGTAGCATATGAGAGGCTCTTGGGGACCAAAGATATTTAACTGATAAATGAATAAAGTATTTCCTGAGAAAATTAATTAACAAAGCATTTTCTAAGCTAGTTTGATGCAAAGACCATGTATCACCCATGTCCTGACACTCCTTGGTGGTTATCAGCAACAAACAGCCTCTGGAAGCCCGGGGTTTCAGATAGACGGCCTGTCAGCACCCCCTGAGGATCTCCAGGCCTTCATGCACTGCTGCTGTGGCCTCCATCCTGCACCTACAGGGGCGTGCAAGGATTCAGTGTGTGAACGTTTGCACCTCAGTGGCCTTGGCAGCATCCCTCACCCTGGCGCTGTTCCACCACCTCAGCTTCCAAATTCTGAGTGGTCCACCCTTCAGTTTCCGTCTCCTGCCTCCCCACCGCCTGCCCATCTCATACCCCCAGAGAGCTGGGCTGCTCTACCCATGCTATCAGTGGGTAGAGCAGGGTTTAGGGGAGTGCGCCATGGTTCTACCAAGCCTAGCTCGGATGACATTAGCTACATAATTATTCAAATTTGCACCCTTTTTGTAACCGTGATTTTCAGTGGGTCACGTAGCCACCCTGTCTTGCTACCCCTTGGCCAGCATAATGCCCATAAAAAAACATGTGCCTCAGGCTGAAGAGATGGCTCAGAGGTTAAGAGCACTGGCTGCTCTTGAAGAGGTCCTGAGTTCATTTCCCAGCAACCACATGGTGACTCACAACCATCTACATTGAGACCTGGTGCCCTCTTCTGGCCTGCAGGCATACATGCAGGCAGAACACTGTATACGTAATAAATAAATCATAAAAAGAAAGAAAGAAAGTGTTTCTTTTTGTCTCTGTAAGAGATTAGCAAAGATCCCCCATTCTCATCACTAGCATTTGAAAGGGCTCCATAGGTACCATTTAGGGTGGTGAGTGCTCACGCAAGATTAACCAACTCTAGAGACATTATCAAGGATGGTGTCTTATTCCTTCTTTGTGACCGCTGCAGACCTTTAGATATTGTTAAGGCTAATAAACAGCTGTATGGTGTGTGTACATGTGTGCATGCATGCGTGCCTATGTGCATGTGTGTGTGTGTGTGTGTGTGTGTGTGTGTGAGAGAGAGAGAGAGAGAGAGAGAGAGAGAGAGAGAGAGAGAGAGAGAGAGAGATCCTCTGCTGCTTCATAGAAAGTGTAGCACCTTTGGTCATGAGGTCTAACATCTGCTATCAGCTAGCGAAGAATGTGAAATATCTCTCTTTAGCTCTCAGCTCCTCTCTATACCAGCTTGGAGGATTCTGCAAAAATCCATTCAGCTTCCCCCTCATCCCCAACCCCATGGTGACTTAACTGTGGGCAAAATTCAGTCAGGAATCAGATCGAGGCTACCACCCCATTTCATTCTGCAGCCATTCCTCATTTCTCCTGACTCTCCAGCAGCAGACAACTTGTTGCCCTCTGCAGTTGTGAGGTACCAGCGCCTGACTGTGAGTCTCTCCGCAGATCCATTGCTGTGTTTAACATGAAGCCCAGTTCCCATCTGCTAGCTAGTGGATTAGCATCTCCCAGGCAGAAAAGGAAGGAGCACATCTCTCCCCTTGTTCAGACTATCCTCAGAAGGACTTCAGCCACAGAAGATGGATTGAAAAACTAGCTGCACTTGCCACTTAAATGTGTTATGCCTCTCAGACCCATCTAGACTTTCGAGATGGCATCAGTTACTAAATACACTCAAGAACTGTGTGTGGGAAAGGCCATACTTATTAATGATCTCAAGGACTTTCAAGGTGGGAGACGCCTTTAAGGATAGATACTAAGAGGTACCAGACACCAGGCAGTGGATGACTGAGAGATGTACCCCCAGTTCACTGAGGAGTGCTGCTGGACAAACTCTGCTCCCCACAACTGAACCCAGGAGCCAATCCCCAGCTCCTCTAACTACAAGTTCCTCTAACAACTCCTCTTCTCTTCTGCTTCCAACGTATTTTGTAGCTCAGATAGAATTTAAAATGCTGTCCCTTAAAGATCACACTAAAATGAAAATTCTAGAAAACTCTAAAGAATATGAGCCTCTGGAAGACCAAAAAGGAAAACTTTATCTGGAGTATGCTTGGACGCCCTTAGAAACACACACGTGCTAACTCGTCTTCATGCTGTGGGGAAGGTATGTTAAGACAAATAGTGACTTCCCTCTTTTATCACGCTTCCGGAAAAGAAAGGCGCAGAAGCCAGGCATATTAGTCAGAGGCTAGGAAAACAGAAACGCGTTTACACAGCTAAAGCTAGCCCGTTAACTTCACTGCTGAACAAAGGAAAGAAAAAGTGAATTAAAACCAGACTGAAGGAAAATGACTAGGTGCTGCCACCTAGTGTCTGTTTCCTTTTACAACAGCTGGTGTATTGTGCGCCCTCTGGTGGTGCAAGGCAGTTGGGAACCCCGTCGGCAAGGCCTGTTCCTTTGCTTTGCTCTGGTTGCACAGGTAAAAATAGTCCCTCAGTGTATCTACTAAGCAAAACAGACATGCAGAACGATAGAAGACACACTGGTCCCCGTTCATTGAAGAGCAAAGTCTTCCTTTTGACATATTTCAAGTGAACTCTAACTTTTAGAATCGAAGTAATGACGTTTGTAAAGCTGTCTCCATAAAATCTACTGAGGGGGAGTCGGATTTTTAGTTCAGTACCTGTGCTAACATTTTGTTAACTTTAAGAAAATCAAAATAAACTTCGATTTGAGTCAGAGATGAGCCCCATTCCAGTATGTATCAGTTTACCCAAATAATGAGAATGATTTCAGTCCACCTTCCTTCTTTGGGGGCGGAGGGCGTTGCTGTGGTCCAGAACACAGGAGAAGACTGTTTGTGGCAGCTGTTGAGAAACGGGACGTGCATTATTTGCACAAGACAGAGGTACTATTGTGTGTGTGTTTTAATTGAGCTGAGTTCCAGCCCAAATATTTATGGCTCCAGAATTTTTAATTAGTTAATTGTAGAAAAGAGGAAATTAAAAGACCCAGTGTAGTGCCAAGACTTAGTCTGAAACACACCATTTATGTCTGCACGTCATTTCTTCAGCTGGAGGATGTGACCGTAATGCCTGTTCTGCTTCTCAAATCCTGTGCTCATTCTCGCCACTGTCCCTGCAAGTCTCTGGAATATTACAGGTCTTTCTCACAGATCTCTCCAACTCAAATCCATCCTGACACTTTAGCCAGGGAAGGCTGGCATTTCCAAAATGCCTCTTGAGACTCGTGAGTCTACTCACCCCTTCCTCTGAAGAAAGGCCTGAACTGTCGCCTTCTGGGCCACTACTTCTCAGGGCAGCCAGCGTCTACCACGACTGCTCTACACCGGGCAGCTATTCCACACTTTCTGTGCTCAGGATCATTCCACCCGTACAATAACACTTCGGAGAGGCAGGACAGGCCCTGGTTTCGTGGAACAACAAGCCAAGACTCAGAGCATCCCTAGCCTGAGCCCTCTTCTCTCCAGTGAGTGCAAGATGAACCCAGGCCTCTCTGGTTACAAAGTATGTAGTCTTGGTGATTTAAAAGGCAGGTATAAGAGCCAGAGACTCTGGGTGTGGGATCCAGTTTGTCACATGTTATATATCTCACCTGTTATATATCTCCTTGCCTCTATCCCTCATAAGTGAAATGGGTATCTTATTACTATCACAAACTGAGGTCGCCTCCAGTCAACTCTGGGGATCTCTGACCCAGATGCTGAGTACTTGTTACTCTTCCTGCAGCGGCTCAGGAAGAGTACCAGTAGAGTTCAAGGCCCCGGAGAGTTCGGGGCACTCCTGAACTTGACCCTAATGTGTCTGTCCTCTTGTCATTTCGTCTTCCATTTTCCTAGAGTCCAACAAGCTCTCATTCCAATCCCCACTCCAAACACAGATTTCTTCATCACACAGTGGTTTGGCTTTACAAACGGTCTGAAGTACTCAGACCATGGGCCTGCATTTTAGCTGTGATACCGCACCAAGTATGTTCTGTGAACTATATAAACTTGATCCTAAAGCAGGCTCCGTGTTGGAAGATCTTGCCTCACTACTGATATTCAAAGCTTCATTTGCTAAATGCAATTTTGACTCACGGTATTTTCGATCTACAGTGGTTTTGTTGGAAATGTAGCTCCATCCTAAACTGAGGAGCATCTGAACTTGTAAATACCTCCTTCCAGCCTCTGCGGCTGCTGTTTGCTTTCAGAAAGTCCGCCTCTTCCTCTCTACTGACCCCTGGTGGTCAACATGGAAATGAACATGACAAAACATGTTAGATGTGGATACTGTTCTCAATAACATTTCTCAAGGCCAGGCCCCAAAGCCACTTCATTCGTGAGGTTTCGACACACCACATATGTCTTAAACAATGTCCTCCTCGGATCCTCACAATGCTGCCTCACTTTCTCTAGGCTCCTTCTCAAACTCTAAGGTATTTTCTGCCCTGTCAATAGCCCCTGGCTACACACAGCTACTGAATAATTAGTATGTGGCTGATTCAAATAATGCTGTCTTGAGAAATACATGCAGATTCTGAAGACATCACATAGAAAGAAGTATAAAATATGAAATTAATATTTTAGTATTTTAACTTGTATTGATTATGTATCGAAAAGATACTTAGGGTGTACTATGTAAAACAAAAATACTATTAAAATTAGCTTGAAATATATAAAAGCACAGGATAAAGATGACTCTTGGCATCTCTCCACTCAGGAAGAAATGCAGTGTGTGTCTTACAGAATTTTTATTGCTGGAGATGTGTCCAGGCTCATGGCCCAAGTCCTTTGTCCTCAACTCTGTTCATATACTACTTCCTCTGTGGCATTTCTTGTCTTTAAATGGGGTCTGGCTATGTATCCCAGGCTGACCTAGAACTTAAATCCTCCTGAGTGCTGGGATTGCAGGTGTGCACAGATCCACCCCTGCAATCCCAGTCTTGGGATTGAAACTAGCGTCTTGTGCATGATAGGCAAGGGTCCTGCCTCCGAACTACATCCCAGCCCATTTTTTAAAAATAGTTTGAGACAGGGCCTCACTAGACTGACCAAAATTGGCCTGATCTCCCTTTACCGCTCAAGCAAACCTTAAATTAGAGATCCTCCTGCCTCAACCTCCTGGGTAGCTGGGATTATAGGCCTTAACCACTAAGTCAGTTGTTTATAGCTTCATATTTTGATGATTAATTTTCTTCACTGAAAATTTCATGTATGTATAGAAGGTATTCTGAGAACTTTCTCCACCAGTCTTCTCTTATCTTTGGCCCACACTCATGAATTTCACCATTCCCTATTTCCACCGGTCCCGTTCCCAGACTCGTGACTTCGGGTTTGGTTTTGTAACCCTCTTTAGTTCAGCCAATGCCATCTGCGTGAGCATTGGATCGGAACTACCCGCTGGAGCCCAGTGGGGTCACGAGTGGAGGCACACCTGAAGGCAACCTCTCCCCTGTCTCTGAATCCTTCAGTAGCACACGGTTTAGCAGTGAGGGGTGGAAACCATCCTCTCCCCACGCCTGGCTGTTGACTAGCTCGTTCCTGCACAGGGTCTGTACAGGCATCCGCTGCTCCTGGGAGTCTGTGACTGCAGTGGCAGCGTCCTGCCCAGAAGATGGCATTTCACAGTCCCTCTCCCTCTGTTATAGCTCTTAGATTCTTTCTTTCCTCTCTTTCCCAATGCTCCGTGAACTTGTGAGGAAATGTCTTGCTCAGGGTCTAACCGTTCATCTGTCCCTTAGTCTCAGCACCTTGTACAGCCCCGCATCTCTGCATCCGTTACCATTCACTGGGAAGGGAGGCTTCTTTGACCCGAGAATAGCATTTGTCTGTGGATATAAACACAAACAGAGGGCAGGATGCTGTTATGTCAACTCGGCTAAACAACAGTACGTAGTTCCCCTAAGGCCTAGGATCTTCTGTGGCATAGGTTTCTGACCGGTTTTCCAGGCATGGGTTCCCTCTTGTGGAGGGAGTTCCAAACCCAGTAAGAGAGTGCTTGACTACCCCCACAATAGGAATGCCACTACTGCACATCTTGCCGGGCAGGTTGATCTTGTAGCTTATAGGTTTCGAATCTGGGTGAGGGCTTTGATGACTTATTCCCTAGCAGCCTGGGTAGCACTGTCTAGCCTATGAAAGCTAGCTAACTTCATTTCTAATGGCTGCAGAAGTGTCGTTTTTATGGATGTACGTACTCCATTCAGACAGTCTGCAAATAAGCCATAGATAAAGCAAAGTTGAAGATCACACTTCAAAGCATCCTTTGCGGTTTCTATGTCTACATTACCGGCTTCCGCCCCTGCAAGAGTAGTCATAATTGTGTGAGCCACATCCACAGTGAATTCAGTCATTTGTTCTTCCTCTCTCCCCTCATTCATCAGCTAGATGGATGCAAGGAGTCCGCAGGACGATTTTGATATTCAGAGAGTAGAACTATAAGATAGAGTGAGTTGGGGTCCTTAAATCACATGTGGGAACTAAGTATGACACCTTGAGCTGTGTCATAATAATACATAATAATAGATAAATAATTAATAAAATAATGATTATGTTAAGCCATTCACAGGATACTTTCAAGGATTTGTTTCATTATTTATTTAGGTATACATGTGTCTGTGTATGAACATGGATGTACAAATGCCCTCAGAGGCCAGAAAAGGGCATCAGATCCCCTGCAGCTAGAGCTATAAGCAGTCATGAGCTGCCTGTCAGGCTAAGAATCACACTTGGGTCCCCTGGAAGAGCAGCACAAACCCTGAGCGTCTCTCCAGCCCCTGACAGAAGGTGTTATTTATAAAGGTTATAAATAACCTAATGCTAATTATCTTAACAAACGATACTGGATATTTAGTTAATAACCATGTTTTTAAGGTCAGTTCCTAGAAGCAGGATTGCAAAGTCAAAGGGTGTATATGTTTTTATGACTTTTGAAAACTACCAGCCCAAATTCTGCTCAGAAGGCTGAACAATCTTTTCAATCTTATATTCCTGACATAAGAAGCCATGCGAGGCATTACATTTCCCTTACTTCTGGGTACTTTGAGGATGATAGCTCTGTGCTGATGAATAATTCAGCTTACAGCGTATGCAAAAGAAGAGGCCGCATTTTAGGAATGATGGCTTCGGAGTGGGGATTTCAGAAACCACATGAGGAGTGTAGGCACTTTCAAGAAATAAGGATTATTTCTTGAAAAAGGTAATAACACACGTGTGCAATGAAGGACGCTGGGTGTTACAGCGTCAGTGAAGCCGTGGTCTCTCCAACTGTCTTGGATACAAGTCACACACTGTGGATGGGCCACGGGGACCTGGCAAACTGGCTGCATCTTTGTCTGTGGATTCTCTCTGGAAATCTCACTGCATACAGCTGAGCCGGGCCTTTTTCATCTATTGCAAACCAGCGCCTTTGTGATAACTGCATTTGGTCCTTTAAGAGACACAGATGTTAGACGGGAAAGGTCTGAAGACAAGCCCGCATAACTTTTAAGATTCCTCCCAGCTCGGAGCCTCCGGATGAGAGGCTCTGCAAGGAAGTGGGTGAAGCTGTCTGGTGCAGGAGTCTGTTCTGGAAGAGATCACAGTGGCCCGCCAGGCACATTGCAACCCACAGGGAGTAGGGGTCTCTGGAAGCCTAAGCAGAGCATCTCTGGACGTCCAGCTACAGGAAGAGGAAGACGGACATGGTACCTGCAACCAAGCCTTGTGCCTGTTGAACTAGCCAAGAACATGTGGGCTTTGGGGGCCAGAGCAGGAAGCCAGGGCGTTTTTCTTTGTTTGGACCTTTCTGCTCACCTGCGGTTATGTGGTCATCCTTGAACTGTAATCTCAACGCCTTCACAGAGTTCCAGGCGGGCGGTGGCCTCCAACTGCTTCTTTTGAGATCTATTGTGTGTATGTGTACTTTATAGGCAAATACTCCTCAGCAGACCAGAGAATCAGAGCTTAGACAACTCAGCTGAGTTCAGGGGGTGCTTAGAAAACACAAGGAAGGTGTTCAGTAAAATACGGTAAAAACAACAGATCTTTGGAGGGGGGTACCCCTCCTGGGGGGTCAACGTTTATTAACTACTTGAATGTTTAAGGCCTAGTCTTCCCTTCCCCCATCTTCCTCAGGTTAAAATGTGGGGTTCTAGCTTCTACCAACTACACTTTTGAGAAACTGATCTCCAAAAAGAACAGGGAAACACTCACTGCTTGGCACTAAAGTGGACCGCACGGCTTCTGCGGGGGGTGTCCTTTGTTTTTCTGCTTGAGGTGTGTTTCGATCTCTGCATTCACTGTGATGTGAGAATGACTGCCCAGAGTTGTACCAGGTGACACACTATCCACTCTAAATTGCTTGTCTTCTACTGTACATTTTAAGTAACACATCTACAAGACTGCTTAAAACCATGAAAGTGTCCGTAGGCGGCGCCATTTTGTATGGTCTTCTTCACCGCTGGTTGATAAGGGTGACTCGGTGGGACTAAGGTATGGAGAGAAAGCAAAATATGTCTCCTTTTTATTGGAGAAGAGTTTCGGTCACAAAAGTGATACTGCTGCTCTTGTCATTGACATCACTGGCGACTGGTCCCCTCTGTGGCATAGCGCCAGTGTGGCCCTTGGAGCAATGCATCCACTCAGCCCAGCACTTCAGCTCCAAATATCTCCATCTTCAAGGGTGAGTGGGTTTCTCTAAACTGCCTTCCTTACTCTGCATCCTGAAGTCTATGCTCTTCGGGCCTTTCCTTTGTCCCAGATCCCTTCCTTCTGGTTTTAGCTACACGAGGTACTCAGGGAAATGACTGCCCTAATCACAATCTCTGAGATCGCCGCATAAGGTGTCCATCACTGGAATTTCCTCATTACTTTAATGTCCTTCTAGTCACAGCGCCACGGACCTATTATGTGTAAATTAGAAACACATTATTGCACCGGCAAAGCTTTTCTTTCAAATGCATAGAATTTTATAACCTGCCACAATCTATTAAATTCCGGATTGTCTCTACTGAAGCTGACTTTTTTCTGTACGAAGATGTCAAAGGATCTTAATTTCAGCTAATTCTGGCATCAAAATGAGCTCCTCTACTTAATAGCTGGCACTGGTCTCTGCAGCAAAGTGCTTCCAGGGACGACTGGAAATTGCAAAGATAATAGTGGGCTTCTTGGGTTAGCATCACCTCTGAAAGGCAGGGTGTTTGCCAACGACGCAGCTCCGCTGTCTTCTTTAAACTGACTTTCCCGAAAAGCTCTTAAATATCAAGACAATTTGACGTAAGTAGACATCAGAATGGGAACGGAAGGCTGGGAGACAGAGTGTGCGTGACCTGCTCAGAGTTCTAGAATCCCACGAGGGCTTCTCGAAGATAGGGGACACTTGGCAGACATGGCCTTGGGGTCTTGTTTAGTGTGTCCCTCTTTGCAGAGCTGGACACGTGTTTGTGACTGGTGCTTTTGGGCTTCGTGGTCATACTGCCATCGACGGCCATACTTCCAAGGACGATACATACTTGAGCAAGAAAGCCATTGTTTCCTTCCAAACCAGCTCATAAAGTGTGTTATAAACCTACCCCAGCAGGGAGAGTTCTCTGTTGTTCATCTCCACCAGAGTCTCCATCTCATGTCAAGGAAGCATTGTTGAGTCAATCAAGAAGGGCTCCCTGTTTGATGAGGACTAACTCACAATAATAGCTGTTGTGTTACAGGCTTTCTGTTCTCTATCTGTTCAGTGCTTCAGAATGTCTGCAGGGTTAACTTCATTGCTATTCCTATAGACAGAGAGCTGAGACTGAAGAGAGAGAGTCAAGACTTGAACTCAAGTCATCCTTGGCATTCCCCTGCCCACCCCACCCCCTCAATGTCTGACAAAGAGTGGGAAAAAATAAAGGAGCATGGGCAAGGAGTGCCTCTAAAATAGCCACTCGCTCTTAAATCTGTTAAAGATTAACTTTGAAAATCCCAAGTGTGGGCTTGGTTAAGATGAGTACATTCATAAATTTCTGTGGGTGCTGCGCATTGATTTCAAGACTAATACTAATAAATTTCAAAGTTTAAAGAAAGAGTTCAATAGCTTCTTAAGACAGATGTGACCATATCCTTTGACGGGCGCTTATGGCTCTAATAGAAGAAACCCTGCAGCCCTGATGTCAGCTCTTCTCTTGGCCCAGCTGTGTGAAAGCAGTTCTCCAACATGGCCGACGCCTCGGCATGCTGGAAGGCCAGTGGAAGTTCAGAGGGCTAGGGCTCAACTTCCAAGTTCCCGACTCTTCTAGTCCCATTTAGGGCCTGAGAATTTGCATTTGGACCAAGTTCCCAAACGATGCCGGTGCTGCAGGTTTGGGAAACCCTCCAAGAGGCACCGATAGAGCAAGTGTGACATCAGCCCTCGCTGCCGATGGGGACCATTCTTACTGGTCGGCGGCGGCGGCGGAGCAAGTACAGAAACTGAAAATCCTCAGGTGGGAGTTTCACAATCTGACACTGTCGTGACATCCAATGCATGATCAGCAGGCGTCTGCCACATGTGGTGGGAGGTACTGTGGGAGCCTGGGTCTCATGTCTGGGACGGACTGGAAACACAAAGCCTCGGTCGTTCCACACAGACAGTCCGAGTACAGCTGTCTAAATGGTGACGCCATAGTGACGTATCTTGGGAAAATGTAAATGCACAGATGAGTTAGGTTCAATCTTTCTCATGCCGTGAGCAACACCTGGGAAGAGAGAGCTGCCAAGTCCTGGGCCCCAGGGGAAGACCGGGGGCTATAGACGCAGAGCTGAGTGTGACATTACGTGGCGGTGGGATGGATCAGCCCAGGGACCAGAGGGCTTCTTAGCTGTTGGAAGACTGGAGGGAGAAATGGACCAGTCAGGATTTAGAAGGACCAAACTTGTGTTGAGGATCAAACTGGGTCAGTGGACGGCCTCCCAGTGGGGTCCATTGGGAACTCTCATTTGCAGGCATCCAAGGAGACTGAAGACAATATAGGAAGTTCTGTTTGTCAGAGTCACTCAAGCCGCTGGTGTGATTAAAAGACTTAGTGTGTAGACCTGAAAACTTCGACATGGTTCAGGGGGCAAACGAGATCAAGAGCCCTCCAATGCCCCATACAGTATACTCAGGAGGAGGGGGGACTTAAAACTATGCCCTACTGTACTCAGGATAGCAAGGCCCAGGAGAAGGGAAGACTTACAACTATCCCCTAGATCTCAGTTACTTGGGCGGCCATTTTGTTTTACCTTCTTAAACATTTTTATTAAAATTCCCAAGGATCTCATTGCTAATTATCAGGATTCAGCTGTTCCTTGCCTTAAATTACAGGATCCTCTTGGGCTGACTGAAAGGAAGCCCATGTGAATGGGCCTTTCCCATGATTTCAAAGCGTGATGGATGTGCCTCAAATTTACTTTGCTAACTGTCTTTCCAAATGGATCTCCTGGTAGCGCTACGATTTTACTAGCTGTGATTTATTTTTTAATATTTTGCACTTCAAGCTCTGATAAATCCAGTGTTCTTGCTAAGCACTTGTACAAATTAGGTTGCAGGCAGAGGAGTTTGGCATTCTTACATGTTCAATACATCAGTGCTGAGCAGTGTCGGAGGTGTGTGTGGGTACATCTCTGCTCCCCGCTGAAGTCGAACTCTCTGTAAAGCCTCCCTTGACCCATGCCATTCAAGGAGAGGTTCTCTTAGACCTACAGACCCACCTCTACAGTTTCTACCATCTACAGCCAATGCCAGTCCAAAAAAAATATTGAATGGAAAATTCCATAAACAAAGACTCCATAAGTTTTAAAATGTATGCCATTCTCTGTCATTCACGAAATCTCCCACCTTCCCACTCCATCCCATCCAGGAGATAAATCATCCCCTCACCCAATGTATCCACACTGTATACACTGCCCACACGGGCAGCCATTGCAGTTAACAGACACATTGTCTCAAGTATCACAGCATCTGTCCTAAAGTAACACTTACTTTACTTAACAACTGGCCAGTGCAAGCTGGGTAAAGCTGTGCCAAGAAAAAGCTACTGGATGCTTCCTTCAGGTGAAAGCATGACCAGCTACCCAGAGGCCTACTCGTCTGTGGTCCCGTATGAGGCCAACAGCTTTGCCCCCCTCTTGCTGGCTCCCCTTCGTCCTGAGACTAAGTCCACAATTCCCTTCAGGGCTGCCGAGTGGCTACAGGAAGCCATAGGGCTGTCAGCTTCCTCTTAAGGAACCAGAAGGGGAAAGAGAGGGAGAGTCAGTGACATCAACATGATTGACAAGGTGAATGCCTTGTGCTGGCAGGCTGAGATCCAGGGCAACTGAACCACACACACTGTCCAAAGTGTCATCAGGGATGACTTAAACCAATAAGACTCACTGGATCTGGAAGTGGACCCCAAACATGCTGTGCCCGAAAGAAGGAAGGGATGGGTCCCGGGAAGGTGCCCCTGTTTTAGGATGCTGCCTCTCCTGCATCTCCTCCAACACCTCTCAGCCTGTTTTCCCATCTATAACCGATTACTGATAATCAGCTCCTCCGGAGCTCTGTGCCCAGCCGAGCACATTGGAAGTGCTCAGTACTCCTTAGGAGGGAGAAGACAGGTCCAAGGCACCCACTGCATTTAGATATTCTGTTCCTTCATGGACCTGCTCCAAATAGGTCCTTTCCCTTTCTGTAGAACAGTTATGTCTAAAACAGAACAATGAAAACCTTGTTCAGCCAGCCCGCTCAGATGATGATCTACCCGGGACCTGAGTTAGGTGAAAACCATAAGCTAGTGTTTCAAACCCACGCGGAGAAAGTGTCTGACTGGGACTGTCACTGTGATAGGACGCTTGCTTAGCATGCACAGGGCCCTGTCAGCACTGAAAAAGAGAAAAAGAGTGTTTCTAAGCAGCGATGTTAAAATGTTTCCTATATCAATACAATCGTATAGATATCATTGTTATATGAAAACAAAAGGTGACGCGAAGGAAATGAAGAGAGCGGAGGGGAAGTTACAAGGTGCAGAGCCTGGCGGGGTACTGTAAGGAGCACCCCAGCAGATGGCAGGCCCTCAACATGGCTTCTGTGCTGCTCACATGTACACGAGAAACTGCTGGAATTTATAGGAAAGCCAATGACGTATAAACAACAGAATTGTATTTGAAGTCAAATTATTATGATCTTGAATTTTATTTCCTGTTCTCTTTACTAAAAGCACTTGCAAAAGAGGGTACCCTCATATCGGTCATTCCCTCACTCGTGCCCCCAGCGGGGGTGGGCTGGACTCCTGCCATGGCTCCCGTTCTTCGAGTTTGGGGGAAGGGTCTACAGGAACCAGGCCTTAGGACTGACGACTGGGGAGTTTTAGAAGATCTCTGGGCAAGGCTTGTGAAGAGCGGGGCTGTTCTCTTTCCTCCATCAAATGAGAGTGATGAAATCACTAAGACCATGGAAGCCGGCAGTTCGGGCACAACATGCTCGAAGGCCCTTAGGACACTAGGGTAGCTCTGCTCCCAGACCTCTGTCCCACCTGCTCCCCTCCAGGACCCAATTTCTTCTTTAGATGGAATCCCAGGTCACCTCAATTCTCCACTGCATTCTTCTGAGGAAGTCGCCGTTTTGAAGGAAAGGGACTGTGGCCACTCAGAGTCTTCCTCATTCATAGTCCAGAGGACATGAACGGATGCCAAGGTTGACGTTACGATTCTGTTCTCTTCCCTAAGGAGATAGCTTGCATGGTATGGCTTGTGCTGGGTGCTCAGCACACTCTAAGTGATCAGTGTCTTGTGTCCCTGGGTTCTGAGTGCACATGCTGGCAGCACAGACAGAGCCACACACATGATACTGTGCATCATTAGGCAGCCTTGTCTCAGATGACTCAATATGACCAAACAAGCTGTTGATATTTGTGATGATGCTTGGGAAATAATTCCAAATTGGTCGGTACAGAGTTAGTGTCTTGAGTGCTCATCCACTTCTTCCCACATAGTTGACCTGACCTCATCCCAATTATCTCTTCTCTGCTGAGCTTTCCCTGGAACATAACTTTGTGGCTTCCTAGATTCTGTCCCAATGCCATGGTAACCATCTATTTAATTGGTCTGCCTCTCAGCCATCCCAGTTACCAGACATTTTGAGTGACATCTACAAATGAAGGATAGCCTATGTGGCTCTTAAACACAGAAGAATGAGGAAGAAAAACTGGAACCAACCGGAAGGTGAAGACATTTTGGTAGACCATCTATTGCTCCCTAAGATCTCTCTGACCACACCCTACCATGCTCCCCAGAACTTTGCCAAATTTCGCCC